CACGTTTTGATCTGCCTCAGCAGCGCCCCCCAGGTGTTCTGGTCCATTGTGTTTACCGGCACCCCCTCGGGCAGATGGCGCTTGAGGAAGACGTTGTGGGCGTTGTTGTGCTTTGCCCGCATGCAGGGCTTGGGGTTACCATCCTGAGCGCTCGCGAGGGAGAGGCCAAAGGTCAGGAGGATTAAAACCAGGACTGCCATCATGAAGAGCTTCTGCAAGAATGGAAAAAGGTGCCTCCAGTTAGGACATTTCTCTCCCCCTCTCTATCTCGCTCTCACAAACAACAACTAAATATAGCCTGCTATTTTGGCACAGGTTTGCTGGCTAAGTGGAAGTCAGCTGCAGCAGCAGCAGTGGCACAAGCAGCAGTATTTGTAATAGTAATAAAAGAATAAGTAGCAGTAGTGTAGCGTTAGTAGCAGTAGCATTAATAATATCAGAGAAAGTAGTAGTGTGCTATAAGTATACTTCTTTTAAACTAAAAATGAGTGACTATGCTTTAACCCTGATGTAGTGTTGGGTCTGTGGGACCCATTTTCAATGTTTACCAAAAGAAAAAATTATGCGATTTATTATTATTTCAGCCTCAGATTCTTGGTCTTTGCTCATTTTCTGTGAAGAACATATAAAATAACCCATTTTCAGTGTCTTCACTGAGTAACAAACACATCAACAGCACTTAAGGGTTGAGTTTACTTTTTATGTACTTATCAGAGATATACTAAACAAAATTATACTTAAGTATACTTGTCTTATACTGACAAGTGTACAGAAAAATTGAAGTATATTTGGTCTACACTTGTAATTAATCTTTTGATCGAGATATACATAAGGAAAGTATAAGTAAGTATTCTTGCCTTATACGTGAAGTTTAAATATACTTGGCTTATAATTTGGAGAGGAATAGCTTAGAGTAAATGGTACGTTTGTAGAACAGATATTTTAGTAAAATTGTACAGAAGTATAACCTGTTTGTGGGCAGCCAGGGACTGATTTCAGAGATATAATAGAAACCTATTAATATACTTTAAAGTGCAAAAATAATATATAAGTATTGAACTATAAGCATTACATGTTTCATATATATTACTTATTTCATTTGAAGAAAACCTACATGTAAAATTGTAATATATAAACTATTAAACTGGTAGTTTACCTAAAAGTATACTTAAAAGTGTACTTTCATAAACTAAAATGTGGGATATAAGTATATGAGTAGTAAATGAACAGTATATCTATAAGTTCACTTTTAGTGTAGTTCACGGTATAGCTGCAGTACAAGTAAACTTGAATAAACTAAAAAGTGGGCCAATTTAGTCCCAAGAAGTGTTGAAATAATGCACTTACAAGTATACCACCAGTACATTGAAACTAGTATACTTACTATATAAAGTATACTTGGGAAATATATGTCAACTTTTCTTATGTTTACTTAATGAAATGAATTTTAAAAAAAGTATATTTTTTTGTAAGCACTTAGTTGCAGAAGCAGCAGTAGTATTAGAAGTAACTACTAGTAGTGGTAGCAGTAGCATTATTAGAAGTAGCAGTACTACAATTAATTAGCTAGTATTAGTGGTAGCATTAGCATTTTTGGAGGTAGCAGTAGTAGTACTAGAAGTAGCTAGTAGTAGTGGTAGTGGTAGCATTAGTGGAAGTAGCAACAGCAGTATCAGAAGTAGCTAGCTAGTAGTCGCATTAGTAGTAAGTAGCAGTAGTAGTATTTGGAATACATTAATAGTAGTGGTAGAAACAGGAGTAGTAGTAGCAGTAGTAGCATTAACAGCCACAGTAACAGTAGTACTATTAGCAGTAGTAGTATTAGCAGCAGCAGTGGTAGTTGTAGTAGAAGAAGTACTGGTAACAGTAGTAGAATTAGCGTTAGTAGTAGCAATAGTAGTAAACGTAGCAGTAGTAGCATTAGCAACAATAGTAGAAGTAGCAGCAGTGTTAGCAGTAGCAGTAGAAATAGTATAGCAGTGATAGCAGTAGAAGTATTAGCAGAAGTAGCGTTAGAAGAAGTTGCATTAGAAGTAGCAGCTAGTAGTAGTGGTAGCAGTTGCATCAGTACTAAGTAGCAGTAGTAGTGGTTGAAAGGATATTAATAGTTGTGGTAGAAACAGGACTAGTATTAGTAGCAGCAGTAGCATTAGTAGAAGTAGCAGTAGCAGTACTAGTGCTAACAGTAGTACTGTTAGAAGTAGTGGTATTAGCAGTAGCAGTGGTAGTTATGGTAGTAGTAGTAGTAGCATTAGCAGAAATAGTAAAAGTAGCAGCAGTGTTAGCAGTAGCAGTAGTAATAGAATAGTAGTGGTATCAGCAGTAGCAGCAGAAAAAGTTGCATTAGAAGTAGCGTATGTAGAAATAGTAGCAGTAGATGCAGCAGTACTAGTATTAGCAGTAGCATGAGTAGAAGTAGTGGTAGCAGTAGCATTAGGAGTAGTAGGAGAAGTAGCATTAGTAGAAAAAGCAGCAGTAGTATTAACATTAGCATTAGTAGAAGTAGCAGTAGTAGTATTAGCAGCAGTTATAGATGCAGTAGTAGTATTAGTAGCAGTAATTACAGTGCCATACAGAAAGGTATATAGAAAATATACTACAGGATGTCGCTGTTGTCAGAAGAAAACCTCATATCTCCATTTTTGACGTTTCAGTTTTTGACATAATTTGAAAATACCTGTTACTCTTTACATTGTATGTAAATTTCATGATGAATGGACTAAAATAAATGACCCAAAATGACCTGGAAAAAAGTCTGGTTCCATTGACTAACATTAAAAGTAAAGAAGTTTTCTTCTGACAACAGCGATATGCTACTTATCTTTTGGGATATACTGACAACATATAAGGACATATTTCATTTTCATAGCTGTAGTGTAAGAAGCAGTAATAGCAGTGCCATATAGAAAGGTATATTGAAAATATACTATAGGATATGCTATTTAGGCATTGGAATATATTGACGACATATAAGGATGTATTCATTTTCATAGGTGTAGAAGCAATAACAGTAGTTCTAACATTATGGATGAAAGCAGTTATAACTGTAATTAGACATGTAGACCAGACCAGACAGTCATACCAGACCTTACCGTAAGTGGAGCTTATTCTGTCCAGTACTTCCAACTGCAATAACCACTGAAGATTGGCTTTCACTTCTTTGTTGAAAAGGCCTTCACCGTGTCCCTGAGTGTGGCTACATGCTGCTGCGTCTGACACGTGCAGCACTTCCCCCTCCCTTTGTTTAGACTGTGTGGAGGTCTAACGGTGTCTGCCGCATGCCTTTTTATAGCTTCACAGTGAATGGCCTGTTCCTATGTCCGTTATCCTCCGTCTCCTGCACCACAGCCAATAGGCACTTAATGTGGAGCACAGTTCGGATTACTGTATATTTAAAGCACATGAAGTGAATCCCTGGGTGGGGCTCTGCCATGAGTCATATAACCACAGTAATTTGGTTGTTTTGATGTTCTCAGCATTATTTTCCTCAGCAGTCTGTACTGTAACACACACAAATAAAAGTCATACAATTATGAATGGACAGTGTGCTTGTGTTTTTGAATAGATTAAAGCAGCCCAGTGATTTCTGAAGCCATTTCTCTTGTATTAGTTGTAGCAGATTCTTAGACAATCACTGTCAGATTACATCTATTATTGACTATTGACAAAAAAGACGCACAGAAAAACTGAACATTGTAGTATGGCTGTAGTTCAGTGTAGTTCCACTGCAGTTCAATGTAGAACAACAGTGGGTTACTGAAGTGTAACTGTGGGTCAGTGTAGTATGACCTGCAGTTCAGTGTAGTACAACCTGTAGTTTAATGTAGTACAACTGCAATTCAGTGTAGTACAACTGTAGATCAGTGTAGTGCAATCTGCAATTCAGTGTAGTACTACTGCAGTTCAGTGTAGTTCAACTGCAGTTCAGGGTAGTACTATCTGCAGTGCAATGAAATACAACTGCAGTTCAGTGTAGTACAATTTCAGTTCTGTGTAGTTCAACTGTAGTTCAGTGTAGTACTACTGCAGTTCAGTATATTACAACCTTTAGTTCTGTGTAGTACAACTGTAGATCAGTGTAGTGCAATCTGCAATTCAGTGAAGTACTATTGCAGTTTAGTGCAGTACAGTTGCAGTTCAGTGTGGTACAACTGCAGTTCAGTGGAGTACAATGGCAGATTACTGTAGTACAATTTCAGTTCTGTGTAGTACAGCAGTAGTTGAGTTTAGTACTACTGCAGTTCAGGGTAGTACAACCTGTAGTTCAATGTAGTACAACAGTAGTTCAGTTTAGTACTACACCTATTGTTGAATTCAGCACAACTGCAGTTCAGTTCAGTACACTTGCAGTTCAATGTAGTACAACTGTAGTTCTGTGTAGCACAACCTGCAGTTCAGTGTAGTGCCACTGCAGTTAACTGTAGTATAACTGCTGTTCACAGTAATACTACTGTAGTCCAATGTAGTACAACTGCAGTTCAGTGTAGTACAACTGCAGTTGAGTGTAGTACAACTGCAGTTGAGTGTAGTTTAACTATAGTTCAGTGTAGTACAACTACAGTACAGTGTAGTACAGTTACATTTTAGCGAAGTACAATTGCAGTTCAGTGTAGTCCAACTGTAGTTGAATGTAGTAAATGTGTAGTTCAGGGTAGTACAACTGCAGTTTAGTGTGGTACAATTGCACTTCAGTTTAGTACAACCAGCAGTACAATGTAGTACAACCACAGTTCAGTGTCGTACAACTGTAGTTCAGTGTTGTAAAACTGCAGTTTAATATAGTACAACAGTTATACTTGTTGTTTATTTGCTTACTTTGCAAGCCTGTTGCTTGTTGCCTGTTGCGTCAGATCAGTTTCAGGGTTAGAGTCAGTTTTAGATTGTGAAACTGGATGAACAAGTATAGAATCCAGTATTCTTCTAGGTTGGTGTTCTAGCGTATCGATAACTGTTTTTCTCACTGACTGGAGGCTTATCTGTATAAAGCTCCGCCCCCAACAGGTTCATGTGATAGTGGCCCTTGTGTTCACATTTAAATGTTCACTATAAGAGAGCTTTAGGTGGACCTTAAGGGAGCATTAACAGGATCACTGCTGAGACGACAGAAAGCTCCTCTCTATCGTGCTGCACTGGTAATGTATTTACTATCTTTTACTACTCACAGTTCTGTCTGTTCATTTTTTTGGGGGGGAGGGGTTTACACAAGTACATTTTATCGTCTTCAAAGGGCTCTATTCTACATTTTTCTTGCATTTTTCCCTAGAGCTCCACTTGTAACTTTTGTGTTGTTTTTTTTGCACCAAAACAGTCTTAATTCATTTTCTATGACAATTTTCCAACGAAACTTGTCATTGCTCACTCCTCTGCTGGTCTCTAAACAGCATGTGCTGCCTAGTGTTGTCAAACGATTGCCAAATTACTCCAAAAGATCATGACAATCATAAGGAAACAAAACGAGTAGCCTGTCAATTGCAGTGCTTCCTCAAAATAGTGTGGTCACATGCATTACTGAGCTGACAGCTGACTGAGCCACAGTGTAAACAAAGGTTTTCACTAAAGAAGCAGGTCTACTTTGTCAATACAAAAAATAGGGTTCATTATGACTGTGTATGCATATATACTGTATGTACAACCATATTCCTGCAACATAGCAAGAGTATAGATATGCATTTAACTTAAGCCACAAGAGGCTCTGCTTTGCTGCAATTTTAACACAAGGAGTGGAAGAACGTTCTGTCGCCCATCACTGTACAACCCCAATTCCAAAAAAGTTGGGACGCTGTGTAAAATGTAAATACATGTAAATAAAAACAGAGTGCAACGATTTGCAAATCTCATAGACCCATATTTTATAGAAAATAGAATGCATAAATAATATACTTTAAGTGGCTATTTACAGTATGTTTCCTTGAAGTTATTGTTATATTTTCTATCAAATATTGATTACATATGTTGAAATGTGCATCATTTTCTATATTCATTTTATTTAAACTTTTCAGAGTATGTGATGGGTATCAGCGTTACTGCATACATCATTCCAGAAAATTGCTTATTATGATTTATTACCACTGAGTTTGAACACAAGGGCTGCTTCCACATGAACCAACAGGTTACCGATAACTGTTCTTCTCAGTAACTGGAGGCTTGTCTGTATAAAGCTCCACCCCCAACAGGTTCATGTGGAAGTAACCCTTGTGTTCAAACTCAAAAGCACACTGAACTTGCATCTGAACAGAAATTCATACTGGCCAAAAGGAAATAAGAGAAGATCAGGTGGATCTTAAGGGAGCATTAAGTGGATCACTGCTGAGACCACAGAAAGCTCCTGCCTCTCACACTGCACTGGTAAAGTGTTTACTCTGTTTTATTACTCATCCTGTCTGTAAAGTCTTCATTGTGGAGAGATTATACTCAATAAACATATCCTACGTTTTTTTGCATTTTATTTATTTATTTTTTTTTATCCATAGCTCCACTTACAACATTTGTGTATTTTTACTTAATAAAAATATTCATAATTCGATAATAATTGATATAGCGCCTTTTAGACTGATATTCAGTCGTATGCGAAGGTTTGGGCACCCTCGGTCAAATTACAGTTGTGTTGTGTTGATTTTCAAGGTAACACATCTTCTACTGAGAACCCACTTCTGCACATTTGAATGCACAATTATTGTTTATTTACTGAATTTAACATGTTGGGAAAAGCATATAAAACATAAAATGTAGCTTTTAAACATTTTGTTATGTTTATTTTTTCCAGTATGTTAAACTCAGGAATTAAATAGAAATTGGATGTGTTCACATATTATACGATTGTAAGTAAAAAAGCTCTGTTCTGATTGGATGTGCCTCATTCTAAAAGCAGTCCAGGCTGAAACACTGTTTCTAACTTTAGTGTGAGTGGGCAGGGGCTAAACTGGTGAAGACTGAATAGGTGGATAGAAGTAAATGTGTTGGATTTTTTGTGACCTCACAGAAACAATGTATACAAAACAGGACTTTGTTTTCCAAAAGTATCTTAAAGATGATTCTTAATTGGTGGAGCGAGCTTCACTCTGAATACTCTCTCTTTGGGTTAAGATGATCATCTCAACTCTTAAGATGCTTTTGGGAAACTGGGCCCAGGTTTTAGTAATGTTTATATGCTAAATCAAACTCTTTTATTTAAAAGAAAAATATCAGAAAATTTCAGTTTTTCATGAGCATTTCAAGTTCAGTGTATGATTTTTCAGTGTAAAAGACCTGCTATTAAAACTTAAAATAGAGGGAGCCACTGGTTGTTGTTTCTTTTCTCAGGTAAAGGCCCCACTATGTTGCTCTATGTCATGGTTGTCCTGTGTGTCTCTTCGTCTTTGGCTGATGAATCTGCAAATTTGGAGCACAACCCCCACCCCTGCATGTACAGGAAAGACAGCAATGCTTGCGAAAGCTTCCTGTTTAAGCATGTAAACAAAGATGCTCCAACAACTCTGGACCAAAACCAGTGGCAGAATTTTATTCGCAATGTCATCCAGACATGTGACCGACCGGTCCAGTCTTTCCTTCCCTTCGCTCAGAAACAACAAGTCCTCAGCGTGTGCTCTCCTTCTGGGGGTAAAATACAGCATGGTCATCTGTGTGTTAGTAAAGCAGAGTTCAGCTTTACCACAGTGACAGTGGACAACAACTGTATTGTGACCAGTGTCAAACCAGAGAAGAAACACCTCATCCTGGGCTGCGACAAGATTAAGAACCAGTGCTGCCCGGTCCATTTTCAGTCCAACCCAAAAAATGTCGGCCCAGCTGACCAAAGCCCAGACTGCAGAGCACCAGCACTTCAGGATCACATGGAGTTTGGACTAAGTCTTCCATCTCTCGGCCTTCTGGTCCTCATACTGCTGTCTGCAGCTTTTATCTGCTGCAAATGCCTCTCAAAAAGCAAGAAGAGCGCAGAACACAAGGAATGAGTGGATCGTCTTCCAGTGCAGGGTTCAAGTTGTGGCAAAGGTTTTGGGGGGCCTCCTGGTGGTGGAGGGTCTGATTTGTAATATTTCTTACACAATACAAACAACTGGCATACAAAATGGGCTAATTTAAATTAATTCAACTTTTTCATATATTTCAGAATATTAATAAAGCAGATTTTTTGAGAGAAGCATAACTTAAAGCTGCACTGTGTTCGCTTTGGGGATTTGGAGACCTCTCTGGCGGAAATGCATAATTGCACCAATATGTGGAACAACATTTTGTAATGTAGATCGTGCTTCAGATCCCTTACCTGAACAGATGAATTGAAAGAGAATTCAAAGAGAACTCAAAACCTTCGATGTGAGTGAATTATCTACTGTTGTCATCAGTATAATGTTGATTTTGCAGCATTTGAGGCCTAAACATCGAGCCGCACCTTCTTTGTTTGTGCATGCTATGTTAACACATAAAGACGTAAGACAAGGGCTGGAAAACTCCCAAGCTGACGCCTCTGAGTTTTAAATGATCCCTTTAGGCTTTACAGGGCAACTCGCAAAAGCACACACTCACCATAATCAATTTCAACAAAAATATCTTACATAGTGCAGCTTTAATGTGGCTCGATAATGCTGTGCAGCCTGTTAACTAAAGTTCTACAAGCCATTTTTTACATTTACAGTTGAATAGCTTTATTAAACCAGGTTAATCCTAAATAAAATGAGAAAACAACAGCAGTGTTTCCAGTTTAAACCAGGAAAAGGTGATGCTAACCTCATGTGAGGGCATTAAGATTCTCATTTTATTTAAGGAAATAGTACTGGACTCCTTAAGTTCCATTTTGTCTGTTTCATTGGGGGTTTCGTCTACTCTTCTGGGACCCCTCCCCAGCCCCCCTTACCCTTGTTGTGATATTTTAGGCTGGCTTTACATGCTGAAACATTCACTCAACTTTAATCACTTGAAAAGTGCATGAAACGACAGTATGGAGTCCACAAGCAAAATGTACAAAATATGTTGCAATTACAGAAAATGAGAGTTAAATCAAACTTTATCAGTCATTTGCCAGTTTTTGCTTTCATTTCTTAGAAGAGGGCAAGTCTTAGAAGAGGCTGTTCACCTGCACTTTCTATTGATCAACTGATTTGGAGTAACAGGTCTTCTGAACATGTAGCCACACCCAGAACAGAAAGTGCAGATGAACCCCCTCTTCTAAGACCCGCTCCCCTTTTAAAAACTGCCAAAAGTCAGATGCAAAAGAAAAATTTCCGAAGCAAAATAATGATTTAAGAGGCAAAAAATGTATCATCTGAATTGTGAAATAATAATTTTGTATTTAACTTTGTATTTGCAACAAGTTTTAAACATTTTGATCCTCAATATTTTGCTTGTGGACTTTAAAATTTTATTTGAAACTTCTGGCACAAATTTAACTCTATGCTACAGTTCACTAGCATTGCTGACGTAAAGCCTCCTGCAGCTCATTTGAAATTTGTTTGAAACTCAGCTGCAACTGTCAAAACTCTGTGAAACAAGTTTTATGAAACAGCATATCAAAATACAGGCAATGACAAACAATATTATTTGAACTGATTAATTGCAGTCAAGATATGATGGACAAGAAAATAGAACAAATAGATCAATGTTGCATATTTACATGCTATACTTGCTCGCAAATATTAACACGCTAGCTGCTTGAAAGACTTGTGTTTCTGTTCTGTTCTGCTGTTTTTGTGGTCTACATAGCTAGGTTATTCATTTTTACACTCTTGACAAAAACTATGAATGTAAATATAAAATATAAATGCCAATAAAGTAGCTACTAATTCTGCTAACTTAATAATCAAAATTAGCATTGATTTTTTTCTGAATTGCATCATGTAACAGTCAAGTTGCATGAAAATAATTTGCAATCTGCAACTATTTGTGTGAAAGTTTCACCATGTAAAGCTAACTTTAAAACACATTTTGTACAACATTTCAATACACACTTTAAGCAATTAATGATTGCTTAGCTTCATTTAAAAAAATATTGAAAGTGGCTATGTACCCAGCTCTGTGACTGTGCATGTATGGTGTTGTATGCTATTGTTAAGGTATTGTGCTACACACAAAATAAATAAATAAACCTGCATTTAAAAACAATAGTAAGGCTTGTTTATTTTGTGATGTTCAGTAAGCATATAGACACTTTGGAACTGAGCCAGGTTTTTCTGGTTTACCACCTTAGAAAACAGCCATTAAGTATCATTTTTTCAGTAAAAAAGCAGAAAATGTAAATTAAACAGAACATTGTCAATAACTAAATCTACTCTCAGCTGTGTGAGTGTTCAGTGTTCAGTGTGTGACTCTTTCCCTTTATTCCAGCTTCCATTCTTTTCAGGAGACTCACTTTCAGCTCCTCAAAGAATCTGCAGACACACCTCCAAAGTTCAGTCTTAGAAGCCGGTTGATGATTTTCTGAAGTAATCAAACACATTCAGTGGTGTTGAGGTCTGGACTCTGGGGTGGTCAGTCCATTGTTCAGCTTCTTTGTTTGATGTGTCCGTCTCCTTTTCTCAGTGAGGTTCTTCTTGACAGCTACACATCCTTCTTTATGGAGGTGGATTATCTCATATCTAATCTCTTCAGAAATATCTGAAAAATGAATCACTTGTCCTTAATGGCTGTTTTGACTGGAAATTAAAATAAATAAAAGACAGTCTCTGACTTTTGCACAGCACTTTAAGGAACAAACACTTTTCAAAAATATCCATTCTGGGGTTTTGGACTACATTGCTCCATGATGACTGTGTGGTCCAGTTCTGTGGAAGGTGACCTTTAACCTGCTGAGCCACTTGGCTTCACTAGAAAATGATTACATTAGAAACTTGTTCTGATATCAGATTATATCGGATTTTAAATTTGTTTTGCACTGAAAGAATCTTTCAACAGCACACTAATAAAGACCTGTTAAAGTTTCACATCACTAACCATTCACTCTCAGAAATAAAGGTACTAAACTGTCACTGGGGTGGAACCCTCAAGGGTCCATCCCAGTACCTTCAGTCAGGGAACATAACTGAACCATGATCCACTGAAATGATATGTTCTAAGCTGTACTGACTCCACACACCCCGTCTCGTCTCCAGGCTTTTATTTTACTGTTCTGTTTTAAAACATTCGGTTATGAAAAGGTACAAATACGAACTTTTCACCTGGAAAAACTCATTTAAGGTTCACAATCAGACCTTAAAACCACTGTTGGAGCTTTGAAGGAACATTTACACTGTTTGTACTTTGATGAACGAGAAATGTACCTGAACAGAACCTTTATTTCTAACAGTGTGGTATTTTTTTAATCAAAAGATAAATGATATACTATAAATAACTGTTTACAGTATGTTTCCTTACAATCAATGTCATTTTTTCCATCAAATATTGATTACACATTTTGAAATATGCAGCACTTTCTATATTCATTTTATTATAACTTTTCTCAGTATGTGATGGGTATTGTCAACACTGCATGGATCATTCCAGAACATTCTTTATTATGATTTATTACCATATATGCTACTTTTTCGTGCCAGGAATGTATCTTATTTGAAGCATCGTTGATTTAAGACCATTTTAAAGATATTTTTGTTTATTTAAAAGCAAATTTTCTCTAGTGTTGAGCTCAGAGCTGTTCATTCGCATTTTACAAAATTTTGTACCAAAAATGCTTAAAACAAGACTTAAGATAGTTTTTCCTAGTTGGAGATTATAATGAAATCAGATTAAATCAGTGTTAGTTAAATCACGCAGTGCCAACCAGTGACATATTTACTGATTTAAAGATCATACATTTTGTTTACAGCAAAAAATCTTTATTATTATTTGAAGTAAATGTTTCCCACTACGTTGGCAGATATTTTTTCTTGATTCAACAACCTGTTTCCTTGATTTAGTTTAACTTTTCTGCTTTTCTGATGCTGATTTTTTTTTGCAGTGTATAGTTTTCCAATCTTATTTTAAATGTTGCTCTGCTGTTTTGCTGGTGCTGTTCAAACTTCCAACATTAGAGAAACTAAATATTGTGACACATGTTGTCTATTATGATAATGTCTTCAAATATATTGATTATGATACTTGCACTTCTTTATAGAGCTGCATTTTAACTGCAGTCTGAACGCTTCCTAGTATAAGGACATTCCTGGGGATCTGACTCTATTGCTCCATCAGGATTGCGTAATCCAGTTCTGTAGAAGGCTACCGTTTACCTGCTGAGCACCTGATTTCACTAGAAGGAAGTTATCGCAGTAGAAACATGTTCTGAGTGATGATGTTCAGCCCACAGTGACAGATTTGTTACCCACAGAATGCAGGTTTCAACAGCTCACTCAAACACTGTACTTCTCACTAACTGGAGGCTAATCTGTATAAAGCTCCGCCCCCAACAGGTACATGTGGGAGTGGCCCTTGTGTTCAAACTCAGAAGTTCACTGAATTTGCTCAGAAATTCATACTGGTCCAAAGGAAACATCAGGTGGACCCTGCTGAGACCAGAAAGCTCCTGCCTGTCACGCTGCTCTGGTAACGTATTTACTCTCTTTTATTACTCAGCCCGTCTGTAATGTCTTCATTGTGGAGGGATTTTACACAAAGGCATTTTAGTGACTTGAAAGAGACCAAATCCTACATTTTTCCTGCATTTTATTTTTCCACAGAGCTCCATTTATAACATTTTTGTGGTTTTACATACCAAAAATATTCATAATTCATTTTTATATGACCATTTTCCAACCTCTCTTCGTCCCTCAGAATAAAACATATGGCTGATATGCAGTCACATGCAAAAGTTTGGGCATTTCTGGTCAATCTGGTCAAAAAAAGATGCTAAACCCCCCTCAAAGTTTCAGGTTTCCTCCTGCTCTTCTTGGACCCTTCCCTCAGCTCCCCACAACTCGAGCCCTGCTCCAATTATGTGGCTTAATGCAAGATATTTACTTTTGTTATGATATTTTAGGCTGGCTTTACATGGAACCTTCACTTTAGTCACTTGAAACGTACACAAAACTACAGTTCACTACCACTGGTAATGTATAGAGCCTGCAATTCAATTTGTTTGAAACTCAGCTGCCACCATCAACTGTGCAAAACAGGTTTCATGAAACAGCCAATCAAAACATAGGCAATGTCAAACATTATAATTACAACTGATTGATTTCAATCAACACATTACAGACAAGAAAATACAACAAACACATCAATGTTGGCAATTTACTTGTAACCAGTTAGCTTAACTAGCTAGTAAGCTAGCTAGCAAATATTACCATGCTAATTGTTTGAAAGGCTTGTGTCAGTGTTCTGCTGTTAGCCTAGCATACTGTATTGTGATGTATGTAGATACGTTATTGATCTTCTCCAATCCTGACATTAAAAAATGTAAATATAAAATATATAAACGTGAAGACAAGATTGAAGATGAATTAATGTAGCCAGAATGATGCATCTTATGAAAAAACTAGTGGGCTAATTAAATGTTTCACAGAAAACCTTGATTATTTCTGAATTGAGCTGTCAAGTTGCAGGAAAATAACTTGCAACCTACTTGCAACTGGTTGTGTGAACGTTTCACCATGTAAAAATAAAGGAGTGAATGGTATGCTTTGAAACTTGAGCAGTGCTTATACACTAAATCAAACTCTTTCATTTCCAAAAAGTGAGGAAAATGAAGTTTTCTGTGAGCTCTTGAAATTCAGTGCATTTCTTTTTGCAGTTTAAAAGAACTGCTATGCAAAGCATTTACAGGAGAGGGAGCCATTGATTGTTGTTTCTTCTTTCAGGAAAAGGCCCCACTATGTTGTTCTACATCATGGTTGTCCTGTGTGTCTCGTCCTCTTTGGCTGATGAATATGAGAATTTGGAGCACAACCCCCACCCCTGCATGAAATCAAAGAAGAAACATGCTTGTGAACGCTTCTTGTTTAAGCATGTAAACGAAGATGCTCCAACAACTCTGGACCAAAACCAGTGGCAGAATTTTATCCGCAATGTCATCCAGACATGTGACCGACCGGTCCAGTCTTTCCTTCCCTTCGCTCAGAAACAACAAGTCCTCAGCGTGTGCTCTCCTTCTGGGGGTAAAATACAGCGTGGTCATCTGTGTGTTAGTAAAGCAGAGTTCAGCTTTACCACAGTGAAAGTGGACAACAACTGTATTGTGACCAGTGTCAAACCAGAGAAGAAACACCTCATCCTGGGCTGCGACAAGATTAAGAACCAGTGCTGCCCGGTCCATTTTCAGTCCAACCCAAAAAATGTCGGCCCAGCTGACCAAAGCCCAGACTGCAGAGCACCAGCACTTCAGTATCACATGGAGTTTGGACTAAGTCTTCCATCTCTCGGCCTTCTGGTCCTCATACTGCTGTCTGCAGCTTTTATCTGCTGCAAATGCCTCTCAAAAAGCAAGAAGAGTGCAGAACACAAGGAATGAGTGGAACATCTTCCAGTGCAGTTTTGAGTTGTGTCAGAGGTCTTGGGGCACCTCCTGGTGGTGGAGGGTCTGATTTGGCATATATTTAGTATTTCTTACACAATACAAACAACCTGTGTAGCAAACAGGTCACTAAAACTTTTCCACATATTGCTGAATACTAACAAGGTTTATTTTTGAGAGAAGCTTAACATGAAGCTACACTATGTAAGTTTTGGGGATTTGGAGCTCTCTCTGGCGGAAATGTGTAATTGCATGCAACATTTTTTAATGTGGGTTGTGATTCAGACCCCTTCCCCGAGCAGATGAATTTGATGATTGAAAGAGAATTTAAAGAGAACTAGGTGAAGGACGCGTTTTCCGAGGATGTGAGTGAATTATCTACTATTATTGTATCTTAATTGGTATAGTATTGATTTTTGCATTTGAGACCTAAACATCGAGCCGGACCTGCTTTTTGAGCCTGCGCATGTGACGTTAAGATGTGTGATGTGGTCTGAAAAAATCCTGACCTGAAGCTTCTGGCTTTAATGTGGCTGGATAATGCTGTTAGCTAGCTAGCTAGCTAGCCTCTCAACTAAAAAAGTCTAGCTACTTAGCTAACAACATTATTGCTAAAGTTCTAGATTTTTTTTGCATGTAAAGTTGAATAGCTTTTAAAAAACAAGGTTAATACTAAATAAAATGAGAAATAACAGTACCGTTTCAAGTTTAAATTGGGAAAAGAAGATGCTCATGCGAGGGCACTAAAATTCTCATTTATTCAAGGACCCCCCCAAGGTCCATTTTGTTTCCTTTAAGGGGATTTTCTTCTGCTCTTCCAGGACCTCCCTCAGTGCCCAAATTGTGGCTTAATACAAGATATTCACCCTTGTTATGATATTTTATGCTGGCTTTACATGCTAAAACATTCACTCAACTTTAGTTGCTTGAAACTTGCATGAAACTATTGTACACCTCCATTTTGTTATGTATAGGCTCCTGTAATTCAATATGTTTGAAACTCAACTGCAACCATCTTAACTCTGCAAAACAGGTTTCATGAAACAGCCAATCAAAACAGAGGTAATGTCAAACATTATAATATCAACTGAGTGATTTTAGTCAACACATTATGGACAAAAAAAATAGAACAAATATGTCAGTGTTGCCTTTTTACTTGTAAACGGTTAGCTTAACCAGCTGGTTAGCTAGCTAGCAAGTATTAACAAGCTAGCAGTTTGAAAGGCTTGTGTCAGCGCTGCTGTTAGCCTACCATACTGTATTGTGATCTCTGTAGCTACATTATTCAATTTCTCCAATCTTGACTTAAAAAAGTAAAAATAAAATATAAACAGAAAGACAACAATGAAGAATTGATGTAGCCAGAATGATGCATCTTATAAAAAAAATGCTAGTTACTAATCTTGCTAACTAGTGGAATAAACAGGTGTGTTGCAAAAAACCTTGATTATTACTGAATTGAACTCTCAAGTTGCATGAAATAACTTGCAACCTACTTGCAACTGGTTGTGTGAAGGTTTCACCATGTAAAAGCCAAAATTAAGGCCTTATACAACAGTAACACATATTTTTAAGAAAAATGTTTGAGTTGCTCAGCTTCATTTCATATATATAGTAATGTGCCTATGGACCCAGCTCTGTAACTGTGCATGTATGGTGTTGTACTCCATTGTTAAGGAAATGTGTTGCACATAAAATAAATAAATCAACTCGCATTTAAAGGCAGTAATAAATTTGATTTGATTGTGTGATCTTCAGTATGCATACAGACACTTTTGAACTGAATTGGGTTTTTCTGTTTTCCCACATTATATTATCTTTTCCATCTTTCTTTTAATTTCCAGTTAAAATATTAGCCATTAAGTACAACTCTGTTTCCAAAGAAGTTGGGACGCATTTCTTATTTCCCAACTATTAACCAGTTGTGCTTGCACAGACAGGAATTTGACCTCCACATTCAACACATCTATGCAGAGCATGCACACACACACAAATGGGCAGTGAGTACACTTGCCCAGAGCGGTGGGCAGCCCAGGGAGCAGTTGGGGAGTTAGGTGCCTCGTTCAAGGGTGCCTCAGTCATGTCTTGTTTGCCGAGGGGAATGAACTGCTGACCTTTGAGTTACAAGGCTGGTTCCCTAACCTCCAGCCCACGGCAGCCCATTTGTGTCCAAACTGTGCAAAATGTAAACAATGCAAATAGCTGAACTATTAATTAGTCTATTTATTTAATTGAAAATAGTACAAAGGCAACATAGGAACTGTTGAAACTGAGAAATTGTATTATATTTTGAAAAATAGGTGCCCATTTTGAATGTGATGCAGCAACAACTGGGAAACCATTGTATGCAAGTGGATTATCTTACATCTGATCCCCTCAGAAATATCTCCAGCAAAATGAATGACCTTTACATAATGGCAGTTTTGCACAGTTCGGTAAGGAATAAATACCTAAATAAATAATTTTAAAAGAATCCATTCCTGGGACTGCGTTGCTCCATGATGATTGCATGATCCAGTTCTGTGGGCGTTAATGTTTAACTGCTGAGCAACTTTATTTCACAAGAAGGAAAATGAATTACATTAAAACTTCATCTGAGTGGGATAATTCAGATACAACTACATCCTCAGGCCAAAGAAAAATCAGATATCAGATATAAGATTTGTTGTGCACTAAAAGAATCTTTTATTAGCTTAACATATCTTCATCATTATGCTCCTTTGGTCCACACCAGATAGCAAACAGCGTTAGTATAAAATATTGTAATACAAAACGGGGAAAAACAGGTGGAGCAATGGTTAATTAGTTAGACTGAGTTTATGCAGCAGCAGCAGGAGGGTCAGTTCATGCAGGTGAGGTTTGCACAGCGTTGTACAGTGTGAAGCTCCATGGTGATCAAACAGTGCAGATCAGCCAACAGAGATGGAGCTCTGGTGACTCTAGCAGCTCTGGTGGCTTCCCATGTGGCAACTCAGGCAAACATCACTCAGGGGCTCAAATAAAGGGGGAGAGAGAGAGAGAGAGAGAGAGAGAGAGAGAGAGAGAGAGAGAGAGAGATTTCAGAGAGAGAGAGGGATTGATTAGCAGGACAGACAGGTAGATATTGCATCTTGTCATAAGATTTAGTGCATGTTTAGTGTATGAATAATTCCATGATGCTGGTAGCTCCTCAAAAATGATCCATCAGCATCAAGCGGGGAGGACAGTCATCAGCTTATAGAGAAGACAGAGGTAGAGAAAGGCAAACAATTTGTAATTTAGGAGAGCAGGTTTTGAATAAATCTTTATTTTCAGTAAATCGAATGATCATTTAAAAGCTGTGTTTTGTGTTTACTCATGTTGTCTTTATCTTATATTAAAATTTATTGGTTGATCTGAAACATTTGAAGCTGACAAATGAGCAAAAACAGGAAATCAGGGTGAGGGGCAAATACTTTTTACAGCACTGTATGTGGAAATATTTCGAACATAAAGATGAAAAATTTGTTTGTAGTAAAATTTGTTTGAGTTCAGTCATGTATACTCAAACCTCCAAATTCAGAAATCAAGCTTTGCTCCTCAGAAAAAAACGTTGAGTGATTTTAACAAGACTTTTTTTTTAAATCAGTACATTGAGACTAAAAGCTCTTAGACTAAAACATAGGGGAACAAGTAAATGATGTACAATAATCCAGTACATTGGATCAAATGCAATATAGTTAAAATATGCTGCTCTCCTGGGACTTTTCCTTACTTTATTAGATAAAAATCTACTGTTTGTCATACCAAAGTCAAAAGATCAATCTGGTACACACTTAAAAATGATGCTTCTTCAAGGGTTCTTTGGTAAAGAAAATGGTTCTATACAGAACCTTGAACACTTTGATTAAATGGTTCTTTGTATTGTGAAAGAGTTGTAGATGAATGTACATTGCTAGCCCAAATCATCTACAGTTCAATCTCATTCACAATGTACTGTAATAGCAGGACGCGACCTGGGGGAGGCGCTGCTGCTGCACTAATGCAGCGCTGCCTCTGCTGTACTGCCAGAGATTGACTAACATACCGTTCAGCCAATCATATCAGACCTCATCGCTTGTAAGCCAATCATATCAGACCTGGGGGCGGGGCTCTGTTTGTGCACCGCGAGGTAATCGGTGGCCGGTTTGAAGTGGCTAAAGCTCACTGAAATAAACATTAGGACGTATACAAAATCTATAATATGCACAGAGTGAAACAGAGTAAATATCCACCTACAGTATGGATTTGTGGCAAATTATGGTCAGTATAGCTGGTTATCTGTGTTTTGGTTGCTTATTAACGCTGGCTAACTTTAGTTAGCTTTGGGTTTAAGTGAGGTAAAGATAAGAGGCTAGGCTAACGCTAACGTTAGCTGGTTTCAGCTAGTTTAACCCAGAGTATCTGTGGTTTAACTCACTTAATAGTGGGTGAACGAACAAGAGGGATAGAAATAACGTTATTGGCAGCTCTTTATATTCGTTATGTTTAGTTTTCTCTTAAGTATTTGGAAAGAATTACACCTGTATTCACTGTACATAGCTAGTCGTTTACAGTAAGCTAATGTCAGTGAAAAGGACGAGGCTGGATTTGCTTCTAGCAGCATTTAAGGTGGAAAAGTCGAACAAGAAGCTTCAGCTTTGTGTAAAAAGATCATAACACAGTTTTATATCCCTCAATTCCTCAACCTGTAGATGGAAATTACGAGGCAGCAGCTCCGTTGAAGGCCAGATGAGAAGATTTTTATCAGTTAAAATGAAAAAAAGTACATTGATTGATGGTTATTCCTTTGAGTTCTTGTAAATCTGAGCTTAATAAAATTAATGTATTACTAAACACAGGAAGAGAGGGAGATAAAGGAGCTGAAGGAGACTGACAGGACTGAAGCAGCAGATCTAAAGGAGGTTAGTGATCTAGAAGAAAGCGAGGGAGAGCTGTATAAGCTTTTGGTTGAAATTAATACTGAATTTAATTTAACTTAACTCAGAAAATAGAATATTTGTCCCCTTGACAATGAAATTCTGTCATGCAGCTTACTAAACATGCCTACAGAGCAAAATCACACCCTTTCTGAGACCGAACTGATGTATTGTGTTATGAGACGAGACAGCATTAAAAAATGTCTTTGAGGACCATGCCCCCAGACCCCCCTAGCACAGGCTTAGCCCCCCCATCCATGAGCTTCTAGTGAAGCCCCTTGTCCTGACCATTCAAGAACAGGGTAACAAAGTATGCAGAGAAACAGATGGACTACTGTCTGTAACTGTAGCAACTGGAGCTGATAAGATGGTCATTGAGTGTAGAAACAAGGACGTGGTCTTAATGAAGTGGCTAGTCGATGTAGTTCTGTGTTGTTTGAAACAGATGAGCTTTCCAATCTAAACACATACATGAAAATACCAGCATTAAATTAAACATGACTAGTGAAAGGAGAATATGGTCAAATACTGGCACTTTTGTTCTGACCGTGTATAGAGGGACATGGGGTTCTCTGATTGTTTACTTTGGGGGTCTTAGTTGTAATTTAGTGTACTAAACTAACTTTTAAAGCAGCTGTTAAACTCAAGGTATCTAAAAGATATTCACTTTTCATTCATTTTGTCTGTGCCTGAGGGCAGCCTGAAGGTCATCTAATGGAACATCACCTCCACCGCAGACTGTGCAGAGCTGCAGATTGACACGTCTCATTTGGTCGACGTCAAGCAAAAGTGAAAACCAAAGTAGTTCAAAGCTGCTAGCCCACCAGATCTGGGCTGCATGTTAAGCCATAGAGACCACCACAAAGAGCTTGAAAACAGGGCAGTTTTTTACTGTGTATGTTGGAACGAGGGGGGGTTGTTGGGGAGCAATTGTTTTAGTTTAGATTAGTTTATTTACAAAACATTCTGACTTGCAATCCGAAGTTTGAATTTTGCAGAACATACAGTATATACTACAAAACATTTAAAATAATAAATATATAAAAATATACTCCGATCAGGCATAACATTATGACCACCTCCTTGTTTCTACGCTCATTGTCCATTTTATCAGCTCCACTTACTATATAGGTGCACTTTGTAGTTCTACAGTTACAGACTGTAGTCCATCTGTTTCTCTGCATACTTTGTTAGCCCCCTTTTACCCT